AAGATCACACTCAGCTGCTGCACTCCTTAGGAGTGCAGGTGGTTTTGATTCCTGGAGTGAAACAGGCAAGCAAGTAACCTACTTAAGGTTGTTGGGGTTTTTAAATTTATTTAAGAACACTCAGAATGGGGGAATGAAGTCTAAATGTGAACAGATGCTTTTTCTGTCCCCTGCTTTGCTTAACACTGAAGATTAACTGGTAACATCCACTCAGCTGCTGCACTCCTTAGGAGTGCAGGTGGTTTTGATTCCTGGAGTGAAACAGGCAAGCAAGTAACCTACTTAAGGTTGTTGGGGTTTTTAAATTTATTTAAGAACACTCAGAATGGGGGAATGAAGTCTAAATGTGAACAGATGCTTTTTCTGTCCCCTGCTTTGCTTAACACTGAAGATTAACTGGTAACATCTTGATTACACAAGTACAGGACAGAGGTGAACAGTAACTGGTAATGTTCAGTCTGTCTCTGTGCCATCATCATCTTCCTCATCTCCGCTTTGAGACTGCTCTTCTGTAAGGAAACAGCTCAACACCGACTTCTGTATACACCGTCTTTCCTCTGCAATAGAGAGAGAGACAGAGGGTCATTACTTGATCTCTTCACATACGCTGGAATATCCTCAGCTTCTGAGGAAAGGAACACCTCGCAGCTCAAGAATTCAGAAGTAGCCCAGCTTATCCTACAGAACCTCAGGAACTGAGGCCGCGTTTTAGGAAAGCGGCTGGAGGAACTCACCTTCGTTTGTACAGTTCTGCAACAACATCAGCAGCTGTCTTCTGTTATACTGAATGAGAAACTTCTGACACGTTCTGATGGTGCCTGTAGGAATCACAAGAACAGTATGTAACAATCTGCACAACAAAGTGTTTCAGAGCTGCCAGTATATTTTCTGAAGATCATCGTATCAAGTGACAAATGCCCCAGACAACAACTTTATTAATGCAAGTGCTAAGAAGTGGCTGTAGACTTAATTTCCCCACTGCTGAGGTTAAGTGGTGGAATAATAATTTCTAACATGTGCTTGTTTTTTGCCCCAGGTGGTTAATTTTCAGGACGGGGATGATGCTATACTTTGAAAATAAGATATTTTAAAAAGAAAATAATGTAATATAGTATTTGCTGCTCTGGTTTTGTGTTAAATGTAATGAAGATTCAAGCAGAATTAATGAGGGTCTCAACAAAGAACTGCTGGTGCCTGTTTCTTATTTAGATCTGCTAGAAGCTGTTCAGTTAGGGCACGTAAGGTGGGTCTGTCGCGCCCGCAGCAGTAGGAGGGGGTTCATCCATTGGAGCAGGCCTGGAGGGTGCGGTACGATTCAGCTCCCCCCCCGGGGCGGCTCGGGCAGCGGCTGACCTCCGACGTGCAGGGTGTTGAGGAAGCAGGGGTAGCGCTGGTTCCGGCTCTCCAGCTGCCTCACGAAGGGGAGCGCGGAGCAGAGCAGCCGGTAGGAGTCCTTGCGGCACCGCAGCAGCACCGTCCCGGTGTAGGCGTTCAGGTACTTCACTGCGGGGGCACACAGGCACCGGTCAGCCCCCGCGCCCCGGCCCTTCCCCGAGGAGCCCCCCGAGGGGCTCGGGGGCAGCGCGTCCCGCCGGCACCTGTGAAGGAGATGGAGCAGCAGGCCAGGCCGTAGTCCCCGTGCACCCGCCCGATGGCGTCCCTGACGGCGAGGCCCACGGCGCGGTCCTCGATGCACTGCCGGCACCGCGGGTCCTCCGAGACCACCTCGCACAGCACGTACCTGCGGGAGAGCGCGGCGTCAGCGGCGAGGAACCCGCCCGGCCCCGCCC